GTGTGTAGTACGTCAGGCATGGGGCTAGTGCTTGGAGGGCGACGTCGGGTAGTCCTCACAGGTCACGCAGACGCTTCTTCGGCTGACGACCAGGCTCTGCAGCGGTCGTCACAGGGTTACACCTTCAGCCTTGGCTCCGGCTCTGTTTCGTGGCGGTGTACCCGCTCGTCTTCTTTTCTCAGCTCCAGCTGTGAGGCTGAGATCTACGCAGGAGCCCCGCTAGCTCACCTACCTTCTTACTGACCTAGGAGAGCCGCCTCGTTCTCCTCCATTTCTGTACGTAGACAACAAGGCCATGCTGGCCTTGTGTCGGGAGCACAGACTGGAGCACAGAACGAAGCACATTGCTCTCTGCTACTTCCTGGCTCGTGAGCTGCAGCAGCGTGGTCAGCTGCGCCTTGCTTACGTGGCCTGTGAGGCCAACACTGCTGATATCTTCACCAAGGCCCTTCCGCCTTGTGATCATTAGCGTTTCTGTACTGTGCCAGGTCTTGTGCCTACCTGGCCTCACTTGCTCACTTCTTGATCTTGTTTGTACTGTATTCTTTGTCACCGAATATGCACGGTGGTGCATATAAGGTGCCAGTTTTGCTGCGGTGTAGTTTCAAGTGTAATATGACTTTATGTGAAGATCGGGGGTGTAGGTAGTTGGGGACCAGGGAGAGTGTGGCGAAGTTGGTAGGAGAGTTCCGAGGAGTGTAATCCAATGAACCAATGTGGATGCACCAACCCAGGCTCGAAGCGCACATTGAGAAATGCACGCTTCGAGCCTAGGCCAGGCAAATTCACTCTCACACACACACTCGTTGCTTTCCGTTTGTTATCCTGTCGTATAGTGGATCGTTGTTACCTTCATCTTACAAGCTAGGTGACACACCACTCAGGGAGGACCCTTGGGGTGGGAGCTCTGTCTCTTACATAACAAACGGAAAGGTGTGCGTGTGTGCAAGGATGGATGGGTATGAGCTGCGTTCTGGCAGGACGTATGGTCGTCGCGAGGAAGATCGCGCTTGGCGCGAACACTCGCGGGAGCGTGGGCGATCGCCGGAGAGGTCGCCGCGGAGGCCTGCCTTTTGCGCGGATCAGGTGCCTCTCGGGCCCGAGCGCCGAGCGGGCGGATCCGCACGAACAGGAGCAGGCAGATCGGGATCGGCCCTGGCGGCAAGTAATCCGGGGCGGACGGAACCGCGCCTCGGAGCAGGTGGCGATCTGGGGTATTGCCAGGAGACCGGAGCGTACCGCTCGCCGGAGGTAAGCAACCGCCGTCGCGAAGATCGGAGTCGCGGGCGAAGCTGGGAAGAATTGTTCTCGGGCCGAGAGGGTGACCTCAACGCTGAAGAGGGAGTGGACGAGTGCACGGACTTGTCGCAGGGATCTGAGCGTGACGACGTGGCTGATGTCGGCGGCGGAGCCCAGGAGGAGGGCGCAGGAGAGCAGCGTGACATGCCCGCGGAAGCAACGGTGGCAAACCCCGCCAAGGCAGGCGAGGCGGAAGAGAGTGGCGGAACAGGCAGCTTACGAAGCGCGCGCAAGGAAGCGCCCGTTCTTGAACGGCAGGCACAAGGCGGGGAACAGTGCAGCGGCGCGGCACGCGCGCCAGATCCGCGCCAGCAGAATGACGGAAAGCGGGGAAGCGGTCCGACCGCGCAAGATCTGCACCCGCATCAAGACGAAGGGCGGGGAGGCGGGTCGCGTTCGCCTGAGCCACGTCAGCAACGTGACGGGAGGCGGGGAAGCGGGTCGCGTTCGCCGGAACTGAGGAGGTATCACAGTGGGAGGCAGGAAGGCGGATCGCGTTCGCCAGGTCCGTGGAGGAATCGCACCGGGAGGCGGGGTGGCGGGTCGCGCTCGCCGGAACCGTGGAAGAATCGCACTGGGAGGCAGAGAGGCGATTCCTGCTCGCCGGATCCGCGTCAGCAGCATCGCGAAGCGCTGTGTAAGGCATTGGCGTTTGATGGACAGAAAATGGGTGCCGCTGACAACAGTCTTGCGTGGCTGTGTAAGGCATTGGCAAAACGTGGCGACCACCCACCCTCCGCGCGGGAAAATAAAAGGCATGCGCTTGACTTGATGAGGGACAAAGCAGCCATGGATTTCTTCAGGGTATTCAATCCAGCATTCCGTGAAGCAGAGTTACCAGCTGGCTTTAAGATTCACAGCTTAATACCCCTCTTATCGCGACGAATCGATTGGTACATTTTTTATGTTCATCACACGAACATCGTATCAAAAGCTTCTCGGGATCAGCTGTTACGTATCTACCTGCTGGCTACTTCCAAGGCTTCATTATCTGTTCCCCTGGAGTTAGCTCATTGCGCATCTCACAAGAGCTTCGCGCGTTCTCGTCATTGGTCCTCTTTATTTCATGATACTACCAAGGCTACTGATGACTCTCCTCAGGTTTTATCAGCCACATCCCAGCACCTGCATCGGGAATACTGGTTTGACAATGAAACTTTATGGATATATTCTGTCGAGCTCAGACACACAGCATTACAGGAATTTCTGGCCTTTGCAAGTCGTCTGCTGCTGCTTTATTATCATCATCGCCCTATGGCGCCGCGTCCTCCTCCCAAAGAACGCGCTCCGCTGTTGCCGAAGAGTGCTGTTGTCACTGACGCTGCTTCAATGCCTGCTGACAAGGGGAATAAGGTGGATGACAATGAGCCGGTTACTCCGGTTGCGGGAAGTTCGGGACTATCTCTGGAAGAAAAGCTTGCTGCGCTTGCCTTGGCGAATGATAATGGTCTTGATGACGAGTTCTCGGATGATGACTCTGACACCGAGCTGGAGTTTGAAGTCTCCAAGGACTCCACTGCGACACTCCGTTACACTGCGATACTGCTGCTTCCTCTGGTTCTTCAGCCGGAGATAGCCCTGGTTATCGTCACCGCGAGAATGTTGCTGAATCGTGTCTGGTCTGCTTTACTTTCTGACGGAGCTAACACATTGGTTGACTTCCAGGATATTCACCCTGCATACGTGGCAAAAACCAAGTACAGCAGGCTCCAGTTATCATTTCTGAAGGAAGTTGATGCCATCAAAGTGCGTCAGGCAGCTCTGGAATATCAGAAGCCTAACGGAACGACGTACCCGCTGCACTGGCTACACACGGAGAATGCGGCTTTCGCGAAGGAGAAGGCCACGAATCCGCGCGTTATTGAAGCTGTGTTTAAGGACATACCTGCGAGTATCACTCCGGAGGCGGTTGAAGAGATGCTGGTGAAGTATAAGCTGAAAGTTCGCCAGGTCACGCCATTCCTGGAGAGCCACTGCTTTCACCGAGTTGTGCACCCTGTATCTGGAGCTAACACAGGGGTTATCAAAGGGCTGGTTGTACCGCACCCTGAAGATAAGAAAAGGCGCTGGATTCATCAGGTCAACCACCCACACGAGAAGGGCAAGATGCTCCTGGTTCATTACCCTTTGCTCTCCTGTCGGCTCTGTGGGGGACAGCATTATGATAAGTTTCATGATGCCTTTACCACTGACCGACAGCATAACATAGGGAAATGGAGCTTGAGCTTGGGTCGTGTGCATGGGATTAACGGTAACCGCGTAGCAGCACACTGCCATGATTCTTCCTGCCTTACCTGCCATCCTGTAACTCATCCTCCGGCCGTTTGTCGCAGCTGCCTCGCTTTCTGCAACGCGTCTGGTCCGCCCGATCCTGCTCGATCCCGCGATTGTTCTTATCTCAACTGGAAGCGCAAGAGAGGAGTGGATCTGTGTTCAGACCTGCTGCGGGAAAGCACAAGGGAAGCTGTTTATCACTGCTGCGGAGCACATCACTTCCGCACGTCATCTGCATGGCCAAGGGGAGCTTGGTGTTGTCTCTCGCTTAACACGGGAGAGGGAGAATCTCCACACTGTTCGCAAGGAGTTCGGAATCTGATGGACCCGGTTCAGCTCACCAGAGGGTTTGCGGCTGGATCGATGTTAACTGTTGTGTCTTGTCTTACCTGCCTGTGGATGCGTAGAGGCGTGGAAGGAGTGATTAAATGATTACACAAAACAGTCTGTCATTTGCGGGCCTGAATGTTAACGGCCTGGGAGATTTCACAAAACAGAAGCGAACAACTGCTTGGATCAACAGCAAGAAAGGCGCAGATGTCATGATTCTTTCAGATACCAGAGTAGCTGCAGATCACCCCTACTGGTCCTCTCTGAACCTTCCATTCTTCTCAGCCGCCTTGTCTGTGACCCGTGCTGGAGGAGTTGCAGTTCTCAGCCGGCGCACAGATCTCTCCTTTCACAATCCCTTAGCTCACCCCTCACGAAGACTGATTACGACAGAAATCCACTGCTCCACCTTTCATCTTACCCTGATAGCCACTTACCTACCAGCAGACAAGGCAGAAAAGAGAGCCTTCATTAGAATCGCTCTTGGACCAATCATTAGCCTCGTCCCGCCAGGAACTCACCTGCTTATTCTAGGAGATCTCAACACCATTGAAAACCCGCTGCTGGATAAGACCTCTAAGCTTGGGTCTACCAGAGAGAATGACTTTCTTTTCCATCACTGTCAATCCGTTGGTGTCACAGACGCTTTCCGCTTTCTCCACCCTGGGGACTTAGAATTCACCTTTTTCTCGCAAGCGCACCAAGAGAGCTCACGGATCGACCGGGCGCTGGTCTCTCAATCCTTGCTTCCGCGCTTGGTGATCGCTGAGCACGTTTTGCCAGATGAGCCAGTCTCCGACCACGGCTTTGCCATCCGGGTGACTTTCAAGCTTAAGTCACAACTGAAGCTGGGGCCGGGAGTATGGCGTCTTCATCCTTCATTGTTGGGCAGACCCGGGGCTAAGAAGAAGATTGAGGAAGTGGTGCGGATAGTTGAACAGAACGGAGGGAGCTTCACGTCCCTTATCTCTCGCCTGAACTCCAGTCTGAGGGCATACGCTAAAGAGGAGAGCAAGAGAATACGTGCGACTATTGCTCACCTTACCTCGGCGGTGGCTTATCTACGGCGAGAGTTCATGCGCAACCCGAAAGACTTAATGCTGAGAGAAAAGCTGAGGAAGCATGAGCAGCAGCTCAAGGAGTATTTCGGAGGGCGGAGAGAAAGGATGAGTATCATGGCTGGGTTGGAGCTGGCGTTGTCTGGAGAGGTTCCATCACCTCACTTGTCGGCGCGGATTAAGACGCGGAAGTCCAGAACACAAATTGCGGAGGTGGCTGTTCCCGGGGGGGTGGTATCGGGGCCGAAGCAGATACTAAAAGCGGCGTCTGACTACTTTCGTAGCCTTTTCGGTGAAGATAAGCGCAATGCGATCTCTGACTGGGTACCCGCTGCAGGAAAGAAGCTGATGTATTCCGACATTGAGATGCTGCAAGAGGAGTGGACGGAGAAGGAGGTCAGAACAGCATTACATGAGATGGCGAGCAACAAAACGCCGGGGAAGGATGGCTTACCAAAGGAAGTGTTTGAGCTGCACTGGGACAAGCTTGGGAAGCATGTCATGGAGCTGGTCCGGGAGTTCAGCCAGTCCTCTTCACTCCCTACCAGTGTTAAGGATGCGGTGACGATCCTTCTGCACAAAAAGGGAGCGAAGGAGCAGTTAGAGAACTACCGTCCCATCACGCTGCTGAACATCAGCTATAAGCTACTGGCGCGAGTTCTGGCGAGCAGAATTAAAAAGGTCCTGCACAGGGTGATTTCACGGGAGCAGTTTGGCTTTATCCCGGGAAGGCGCATCTCGGACGCGGTGGGTTTGGTCGCTGATGTCATCGATGCAGCCAGAAATGGGAACGAAGACTTGTACATGCTGCTCGTCGATTTTAAAAAAGCGTTTGACTCGGTGTCTCGGAACTTCATCCTTGAGGTGATGGAGAAAATGGGGTTCCCGGCCCGTTTTGTTGGATGGGTGAGAGGCCTGCACATGAACACGAGAACGAACTTGTTAATCAACGGCTGGTTGGGTGACGCGGTGGAAGTAGTCTCGAGGGTCAGGCAAGGCTGCCCCTTGGCACCTTACCTCTTCCTCTGTACAGTGGAACCATTGGCGCAGATGGTCATGAAGCGGAAGCTGGGTATCTCCCTCACCAGCTGCGTCGGGCAGAAGCTGTCATATGTCGGTTATGCTGACGATACAACTCTCCTTCTGCAAGGGAAGCAACAAATTGGCAGGGCGGAAGAGGAGTTGGAGAAGTTTAAGAATATTTCCGGCCTGGAGATGAACGTGGACAAGTCAGTGGTGATGCCCTTAGGGGCTAACCTGGGGAAAAAGTCTTGGCGCTCGGATGGTTTCCGCTGGGCGGAGAAAGATGAAGCGGAAAGGCTCCTAGGGGTTTGGATTACGCCGAGCGGAAGCTGCCAGCCGACATGGGATAAGGCGCTGCAGAAGATGGTTGCGAAGATGTCGTTATGGCAGCCGCAATATCTCCCGATTAAGGCTCGGACGGCGGTGATGGACGGCTACATACTGCCGATCGCATGGTCGCAGGCGCAGGTCTATCCTCCTCCGGCGCAAACCTGGGGGGTCATCACTAAGATGACTCACAACTTCATGTCAGCCAACAAAGCTTCATCGGAGAACTGTTTCCGTCTCTGCAGCAAGGAACTGCTATTTACGCCGGTTCTGGAAGGAGGTGTGGGGGCGATGAACCCAGAAGCGATGCTTACCTGTCTGACGGCTCGGAGGATAGCGTTGACGCTCACGGAAACAAATCAGCTGAAGAGAGCATTGATGCGGCAAGCGGCTCACCTACCACGGGGGCTGGAGACTTTCGTGGCACATGTGAAGCTACTTAAAACATGGGAGGGGAAAAGCCAAAGGTGGATGTTGGCATGCGCAAACTTCATGCGCTCTCCGCTGGCGGATTATACTGAACATCGGGATTTGAAGGAGCTGTTGCTAGAGAGAATCACTTTTAACAGACACATCCTCTTGAACGGCTCCACATCGGTGGGAGGACAGAAGGCGGCGAAGCAGCTTCATAATATCAGGTTGGGTGACCTTCTTGGGAGAGATACGGCAGGGCGAGGAGTGCTGAAAAGCTGTGAAACCCTAACGAGGGAGCTGAGAGGGAAGGATTCTGCAAACCTCGCGCTCAAAGCTTTTGCTGCAGCACCGGCGTCATGGAGGAGTCAACTCCTCTCTGACGTGCTTCCGAACGTGGGGTTTGCAGAGGAGTATGAACTGGGGAGAGGGGGACCTTCACAGCTCCGGATGAAGCTGCTAGCGGAAGGGGGGGCAGTTCCACTAAAGACACTCAGGAAGCACTGGAGGCTTGGGGACAGTGGAAAGACTAGACGGGAGAGATGGGCAAGCCGTTGGGGGGGTAGCATCGATTGGAAACGGGCAGTCCAAATTCGCGAGTCGCTGGTCACCCCCAGCCGGTCGAGGGATGTCTTGCTACGTATCCACTGCCTTAATATTCAGGTCGGGGAGAGGCTGGAGTTCCTCAGCAGCAAACCGGTTTGCCCTCACTGTAGAGGGTTTGAGACGTTAGAGCACTGCCTTTTAGAGTGTCCAAGGACTCAGGGGGTGGTTTCAGCGGTAAAAAAGGCCTTGAGGATGATCAACCCTGCCAGGAAAAAGGACTCGCTCGGTGATTGGTTATTCGGTGAAGCGGGTTCCATGTCAGCATTCCCAGAGGCGTCGTTGATAGCGATTGCCCTCCATCAGCTGTGGGTGGAGAGATGTGAAGGTGCCTTCAGGGGCTGCAAATTCCGCACGCGGAGAGTTCTGCGGAAGATTGAGTCAGCGCTCCGCATGCATGTGAATGTCTACATACGTGCCTCGGCCACGAGGATGCAGCAGCGAGGAAAAGGGCAGCTCGCCAGGTGGCAGAAAATGACTAAGCAGGAACGTACTCTTTTGGATCGGATCAGGGTGGTGGATGGCAAAGGATGGAAATGGTCCAACAGTTTTGCGGCACTTTGGGGCAAACCTCGCAAGCCCCGGATCCATGTCTGAGGATCAGATATTCCTGGAGCGAGTCCTCTCGTCTCCCTTGCACAGTTACGACTGTTATGCGTTGTACACTTGTTCACTCTAGTGTATGATTCATTAAGCAAAAAAAACAAAAAAAGCATCGCGAAGCGCGGGGAAACGGGTCACGTTCGCCGGGTCGGCGCCAGCGCCATGAGGGAAGATATGGAGGCGAGTCGCGTTCGCCAGATTCGTATCGCCACCAAGACGGGAGACGGGGGAGTGGGCCACGCTCGTCGGATCTGCGCAGACATCATGAGAGAAAGTGGGGAGGCGAGTCAAGTTCGCCAGATCGGCAACAAGAACGGGGTGTGAGTTGGGGAAGCGAGCATCACTCGATGGATCAGCGTCCGCAGCGTGACGAAAGATATGGAGGCGGGCACCGCTCACCAGACCGTGATCGGCAGCGAGGACAGGGAGGGAGATGGGAGGAGTGGCGTCACCGAGACAATTGTAATGGGCAGGAGGGAAGGAGAGCTCCACGATCCCCGACACCTGAGAAGTGCTGGCAGCACCAAGGGCGGAGGGAAGATTGGGCGCAGGCGAGTTACTCACCAGATCGGCGAGGAAGGAGGGGTGAGGAGGAAATGCGCTGGAAAGCAAGGCAGGATCAGCACAGGAGCAAAGCTGTAGGCAGTGGTCTGGCTCGCAGCATGGAGCGCGCCAGAGAAGCAAGGAAGGGGATCCAGCGGGCTAGAGGAGGAGGAACGTTAGGAAGGCAGGAAAGGGGAGCAAGTGAGTCATGGGGCGAGGGGCGTGGAAGTGCAGCGATGGCCACCCGGGTGGAAGTGCCGGCGTGTTTCTCAGGAGAACAGCGCCTGGGGCCTACGTTGAATAATTACTTAATGCAAGTGGGGAATGTGAGATACAGATGTGAGCGGGGCGGCATGGATGCGGTGGATTTCTTCTTAAGTCTGCCAAATACATTGGAAGGGGAAGCGGAGACACTGTACAGGATGAGGATGGATGAATTGCTTGAAAGGGCGGGCAGGTATGGGGAAGACCCCACAGAGGCATTTCTGAAGCGGCTGCAGCGACAGTTTCCAGGGCATACGGCAAAAAAAATAAGGGAATTTCAGGAGTTCCGGAGAGGTAGGAGTGAATCGTTGCTTACCTATTACAACCGGCTGATCAACTTGGCGGAGGATGTGACGTGTGGGGACATGGGCCTCTTGGTCAGCAAGTTCTTGGACGGGCTGGACAACACCATGGGAAACGGGCTGCGCATGAAGGTGTATGAGATGGGGGCCGACACAACTCTGGATGAGGTATTCAAGTTGGCAGAGAAGATGGAGTTAGCACAAAGAAAATATGAGGCATATCGGCCCAGGATCATGGAGCGCAGCCGTGGGCCGACTTGGGCAGCAGCGATCATATCTGAAGAAAGGGATAAGGGAGTGGGTCGAGGAGAAAACAGGCCAGAGACACGGACTTGCCACAGATGCGGACAGCCGGGACACATTCGCAAGGACTGCAAAAACTGTGACAGTTGCGGGAAGCCAGGGCACCGGCGACGGGAATGCCCTGAAGCACCGAAGTGTGAAATCTGTGGAAGAGGGGGACATGCGGCAAGAGACTGCTACCAGCGAGAGGGAGCAGCGAAAAAGAAGCTGGAGGAACAGGAGAAACAGATAAGTCGGCTGCAAGCGCAGCTGCAGGCACTGGGAACACGACGCGAAGCAGAGGCAGGGATGTATGCCAGGGATGAGGAGGAAGAAGATGTAGCACAGGAAGAGCAGGGAGCACTCATGGTGTGGGGAATGAGGGAGGATGATGAGGTAGAACATGAGGAGCATATGGCATACATGGCATGGAGAGGAAGAGAAGAGATGGGGCTGTGCAGTGGAGGCAGGGATGGGCGAAGGGAACAGGTGAGGAAGGAGCGGGAAAGGGGGCAGAAGCCAGAAGAGAAGGAAGAGAAATGCACTACTGCACGTCACCCGCAGGAGCGGCTGGCATGTCAAACATCAGTGTTGCTGATCCAGAATGGAGCACTGACGGTGGAAGGGGAGAAAGCAAAGACAGCTATCATAGACACCGGAGCACAAAGTGTCATACTCGGGAAGGGGATGGCTGAGAAGCTAGGATTGTGGGCACCAGACAGACATGTGATGAAGGGGATGCTAGTGATGACTGCAGAGGGTGGAGAGTCAAAATGGATGCCCTGCACGAGGACTCCGATAGAACTGACGGTGCTGAAAGGGGAGAAATACGAAACGCCAGTCAGGATCAGGTGCGGAATTTCAGAGTCGGAAGATTTTGATGTGCTAGTGGGCACGGAGATGATTTTTGCATTGGGCATGACCATCTGCTTTTAGAAAGAAACAGTGGAGTTCCGAACGAGGTGGTGGAGGAAGGGTGAACCACTAGGGCAGCTGCCGGTGCAGTTTGTGAAGACAGAGCCAAAGAGGGCCTACCGTGCAGATCAGAAGGAGGTGACGGCGAAGCAAGGGGCACAAGAGGGAGTGACTGATAAAGGGACGGGCAGGGAGCCTAGGATGCGCCTCATGGATGAGCCTAGCCAACAGACCGATTGGCAGCAACCCATGCGGCTGGTGGAATTGTTTGGGGGAATAGGGGCGGGACTGGCGGCAGTGGTGCGGAATGGAATAGCAGTGAAACAGTGGATCTATGTGGAACAGGCAGCAGAAGTGAGGAAAATAGCGGAGCATCATGCGTGGGAGCTGCATAGAGAGTTCCCGGAGCTGCTAAGGGGAGATGTAATCGAGGCAGCCATGAGTCGAGGAGTGAATGATGTCAAAGCAATCACGGAAGCTGAAGTGGCAAGCTGGGGGCACGTAGACCTGCTGGTGGCAGGGTGGGAGTGCCAAGGGGTATCATGGGCAGGAAAGGGCAAGGGTGAACTAGACCCCAGGACCAAACTGATGGAGGAGTTGTTCAAGATTATGGAGTGGGTGCAGGCTAGGCAAGGCAGACTGGCCTACCTGCTGGAAAACTTGGATATGGAAGGAGATGTCCGGGAACCAGTAAGGATGGTAAGGGAGAGAGTGGCAAGGCAGATGGGCAAAGGGGTGAGTAGCGACGCGGTGCGAATGGGAGCTTACGCCCACCAGCTGAGGATGTACTGGCAGAATGTGGTGCCAGTAGAAGATCTGCAGAGGGAGATAGAGGGAGTGCAGAGGGCAGAGGGGCGCAGGGTGAGCGACATACTGGAACCAGGGAGAACTCCAGCACCCGTAAGAAAAAGGAGCTACAGCAGACACTACCCGTGCAACCAGGTGGGACAAGAGAGGCAGGCATTACCCACCTTGGTGTCCTACGAGGGGGCAGCAGGATATCGGATGGATGGAGAGCTGCCGGGCCCAGGACTGGTACTTGACCATAGGAAGGGACGGTGGGAAGAACCCACGGCTTTGGAGAGGGAGTTGGCCATAGGGTACAAGGAGAATGCCACAGCAGCCCCTGGAGTGAGTGAGAAGGAAAGAAGGCGGGCATGGGGGAACGCTATGGATGGGTACATGATGAGATGGTTGGTGCAGCGGATGTGGAAAGAGACAGTGCTGCACTGGGGATTGAAGGAAGGAGAAAATACGGTGGCAATAGTGAGACAAGGAGTGTGGGCCTGCCTGCAGAAAGAGGAGCCAGAGTGGAGGATAAGTGAGAGCATGAGCGAGGAGGGAAAGGCAGCAATGCAAACACTGCTGGCCAAGCATCGGAAGGGCTTTGCTTTCACCCTGCAAGAGTTGGGGAAGTGCAAGATTAAGGAGATGGCACTGAAGCTGAGCAGTGATGAGCCGGTATTCCACCGTAGGAGGAAGATGCCACCAGGGGATGAAGAGATATGCAGAGAGAAAAT